TGGTTTGGGTTGGAAGGGGCCTTAAGGATCCTCTCATTCCAAGCCCTGCCCTGGCAGGACTGCCATTCATTAGACCAGATTGCTTCTAGCAATAATCCAACCTGGACCTGAACACTTTCAGACATGGGCCATCCACAACTTCTCTGGACAACCTGTTTCAATGCTTTACTATTCTCTTTTTCTTCCTAACATCTAAACTAAACCAGCCTTCTATCAGTTTAAAATCCTTGCCCCTTGTCCTGTCATTATCTGCCCATATAAAAAGTCCTGTCCTTTGTATAAAGCCTCTTGAGGTACTGGACAGTGTCTGTGAAGCCTTCTTTTTTTCAGGCTGAACAACCACAGTTCTCCCAAGCTTGTCCAGGTCAAGAAGGCAGGGGGTGGAGGAAGCCCCTGGGCAACCACAGCCAGAGAAAGGAATGAGAATATGTGAGAACAACAACTCTGCAGACACCAAGGTCAGAGCAGAAGAAGGGGGAGGTGCTCCAGGCACCAGAGAGAGATTCCCCTGCAGCCCATTGTGCAAATCATGGTGAGGCAGCTGTGTCCCTGCAGGCCATGGACATCCATAGTGGAGCAGAAATCCACCTAGAGACTGTGGAGGAACCCACATTGGAGCAGGTGGATGCCTGAAGGAGGCCGTGACCCCATGGGAAGCCTGCACTGGAGCAAGCTTCTGGCAGGACTTGTGATCCTGCTTCTTTCTCTGTAATGTATCAGAATCCTTCTTACTGTCTTTATAACTAAAATATTTCTCTTAGCCTCAATTACCTCTCCCTCTGATTACAGAAATCCTCACATCTTTCATTTATTCTCCTTGCTGTTCTTGAATCAGCTGAAATTGCCTGTTACTGTGACCACTGCACTGACTCTTTCAAATATATTGAGAAACATGGCTTTGAATCGAGAGATATCAAGGGACACATGAACTGAGGAAAATAAGCCAAGGCAGAATGTAGTGCTGTTGAAGGAAGTAAAATTAAAACCTATTGCAGATCCAAAGCAGATCATGAGCTGCTACAAACAATGGGTAACTCATTGCAATCAGTTTTCAGCTGTTTTTATCAGTAACCACACATTTGAGTCATCCTGATGTGTAGAGAGAAATGTCCTATTCTCTGAAATCTTAAAAATTATATACTGGTTTGACAGAGAATCCTCTCTCCTAAATAACTAAAATACTTTACAGTTGGCCAAGAAATTTCATTCAAGGATTAGTGAACCCTGTTTTGCCTATCATGAGTAATTTACCTCAATTTTGTCCACTCAGAAGTGGTTTTATCTTAACAGAAATGAAAGCAAAAAGTTCCACTTCGGTCACTTAAGAGAATCTATTCAGTGAGTAATCTTGACACGAGCAGTGATTTAGTACTGAGCATTTTAAATCCAAATTAAGCCTCACTCTTCTCATTATCATTTTTTAACTTATATCTCCAGCTCAGGAAAACTTTCATGAATATGCTGCTAATATTTGTAATTGCATTAGTATTCTAATATTCCAATTGAAATAATTTCAGATGGAATACATTGAACCACTTTGCAATATTTTGTAAGCTTTACTTCATGAAGGAGGAAACTTCATTTATTAAGGAGGTTGTGGCACCAGTTATAATACCATTATGTTTCAAAAGATTGCTTCTTCACCTTTGGTTCATATTTATGTTCTTCTCCTAAACTTTTTTTTTTTAATGATGGTTGCTAGCAAGTATGTGCAAAGCAGGGTTAGTGACAAGATTATGCTGCATGGTTTGCATTAAATATTTTGCTGAAGAATCTCTGTGGTACCTTCCTGCATTCAGAGCACTTTACAGAACTTTTTGTAACTGCAGTGAGGAATTGGCCCACTTTTGTGGGGTTTTGGCTCTATGAAAAATCAGCTGCTTTGTCATCTTATCAGGAGAGATTGGGGCTATATGTCACATAGTGAAAATTAGGAGGTGTGAGCAGGTTGAAAATTTAAAATTATTGCATTATCTGCTTTGCCCAAAGTATTCTGTACTCAGTGTAAATTAAGCAGCTATTTCTAAACTGAATGTTTCAGGTAACAAGCAAAAATGTAAGAATCATATCTATGAGAGCAACTGGAACAATTCACAAATATTGAAGGAAAATGAATGTGATGTTTTCATAATCTAACATTTTATAAAATTATAATAAATCTAGTAATTTTTCTGTATGAAAATTCAAAGATCTCCCACTAAAACCCCCTTTAAAATTATATCTTTATTACGAGTACTATTAATCATGTTTTTGGGTAGAGTCAAGAAATGTCAGTGAACAATCAAAAAAGCTGAATGAGAAGAAAATACATTCTTTTCCAAAGATACCTAAATAAGCATAATGGAAACTTCATTTTGTGCTTTGCACTGATTATTCTGTAGCCACAGTCATTATTTTCAAGTTATTAGCTTCATTAAACTACCTTTGCTTATGATTAGCCCTGTAAGTACAGTAATATCATATATATAAAGTTCTGGAACTTTTTTCTGAAGCACGAAACATGTATTTTAAAAAAATAAATTTCATTCATTGAATGGTAGTTTTTCAAGGAGCTAACTTTTAAATGGTTTCAGTCGGTGGTAAGAGATGGAAAGACTGTCCCCTTGTGGATAGGAATATGAGGAAAAGTGATACTGTAACTCACTGAGAGCAGCAGTAACCCCGGGTATTTGGAGTCTTATTAGGAATTTGGCTGGAATCCTGCCTTGCACATGGCTCATAAATCAACACTCGAACGTACAAAATGCTACAGAGAGCCTTTTTATTGAAATTGGTTGGCCTGACAAACAGCAGAGGGTAAAGACTGAGCTAATGTAGCATCCTTGTTAACACCATCAGTCCAGGCTCACATGTAAATCTAAGTGCTGCAGGCAGCTGCAGCATTGCCTGCCTTTGAAGAAAGCTATTTTGAGAAGGACAGCCTCAGAGCAGGCAATCGAGAAGGCTCCACAGCAAAGACAAAGCCTTAAGGTGTGTCTGTAAAGCAGTGTGCTGCCCACATGCATGCACCTGTCACCCCCTGCTACAGCAGCCATCACAGGACATAGGACACAGCACCATTGTTCTCGCTCCAGCAGCCTCACTGACAGAGGGACCAGAGCAGGGCAGACACACAGCTGCCTGCAGGCACTTGTCTGTGCCTGCTGATGTTACATTATCTGTGTTGGAGTTCCCCTATATGCGCCATCACCTCTGACCCATGAGAAATAGCAGAAGATGCCAGCATCTGATCTTCCCTCAGACTTGGGATAAACAATGGTTACTTCAAATTTCCGCATGGGAAAGCAGAACTTGATGGGGCTGCTGAGATAGCAGGGGATCTTTCTCGCAGGAAGTGTTCTGGTTTATGAAATCCACTCCTTCCCTACTGCAGGCAGTTACAGCCTGCCAACACGTTCTTCTCGTTTTGCCTTTATGAAGAATTTTCTCCCAGTTACCTCAACTGCAAGAATTTTCTGAAATATTAGGACCCTCACAAATTTTGGCTTAGATATATTCATGGTCGGTGTATATCTATCTATTTGCTATATTATTCTTTATTTTATGCAGCTTTTTTGGCCTCTTTTTAATCGAATCCCTGGCAAAGAGTAGCCATATTCCCCCCTAGCCTTTATTTTGTTGAACAAAGCAAGCCACATGCCTGCTGGTTTATTGCACAAGTCAGGCTCCCAAAACACCTTCATAATGTGAGATGTCACCTGAAAGTGTCCTGTGGGCTCAACTTTTTCCAACAGTTGCTCAAGAATGTATTCAGACTCATCAATACATAACCTTACTCTGTCCCTAATGGAAACACTTTAACTGATGCCTTTTTTCTAGCATTGGGTTTTTTGCACATTTCAGAGATCATTCCTAAAAAGCCCACCAAACTCAGCAGTTGATTTCATCTGTTGTTTCCTACTCCTTATTTCTCAGCCTGTCACAAAAATTCTCATTTTTCCAGCAATGAAGGAAATGTTACTGAGAAAAAGGTTGATGACATCCTTTGGAGATTTTCTACCACAAAGTCCTAAAGCTGACCAAGACCAATACTGTCAAGCTGAGGTGCAGGTTGATGTGAGGGGTGAGGGAGACATAAGCCTGAAATAATACTTGGCCTTTGATAAGGGGACATTTGTGGAGTCAGCATCCCTGGAGGTACTTAAGAGGCGTCTGTATCTGGTCCTGGTGATAGAGTTTAGTGGTTTGGGGGTTACAGTGGCAGTGCTGGGTTGATGATAGGGCTGGATGACCCCAAAGGGCTCTTCCAACCTTGATGGTCCTGATTTTGTCATTCTGAATCATGCTAGGTGGAGCTCACTGAATCTTATATTGTCCTCCACAGAAAGCGAATGTGTCACATCTACAGCTCTGATACATAAAGTCATCAAGTTGTTGCTTGAAGGGTTGAAGGTGAAATCCCATGGGAACTCATTGCAGGCCTAGATAGACACAAATATTTGCAAACTTTTGTTAGCACTTTTCATTCAAATATATCCTGTTTCTAAATTTATAACACTGGATGAGTTCCGTGCCCATGCTGGCAAATGGCCATGGCTTTATAATCTGGACAATGTGGGATTTCTGGCAAAAAAACCATCCAGACACACATGCAGCAAACCTACACTGCTGATATGGGGTTTTTTGGTTTGGGTTTTGTGTATGTGTGTGTGTGTTACAGGTCACTTTGACTGTCAGATGACAATAAATTAAAAGTGAAAAAGAGGAAATTCTTAAAACCTGTTTCCCCTGCCTCTGACCTAATGCTAGGAAGAAATGTGAAACCAGACTGTTTATTTCTGTACCTCACGGGGGAAGCGTCATGGGGGTTGTGAAAGTTCCCCGCTTCCTCCCTGGTGATGAAACGTCTTTAAAAAAAAAAAAAAAAAACAAAAAAAAGGGAGTATCTTTGCATAATTTCATAACGCGGGCTCGGGGCAGTGGCTGGCGCTGAGGCGGCTCCAGGCCCGCTCCCGCCCCGCCCCGGCGCGGCCCGGCCCGGCCGGCACTCGGCGCCCGCCATGGCGAGGCTGGGCCCGGCCGCGGAGTCGCGGCCGCTGCTGGTGAAAATCGTGATGGCCGGAGAGTCCTGCGTGGGGAAGACCTCCATCGTGCGCAGGTACACGGAGCCCGGCTCGCCTCCCGCCGGCTCTCCCGCCACTTCGTACATGGCCACGATCGGTGAGTGCCCGCCTGCTCCGTGCGCCTCCGCCCGCCTCGCTGCCGCCCCTCGCCCTCCCCTCCCGGTGCCCGCGGCTGGCACTCGGCAGGACCGGCGCTGTCAGGAGGTGTCAAACCTCCGTGAGCTGAGTTGTGCGGGTCTGCAGCCGCCTCCAGCGGCTTAAACCTTTGCCGGGGTGTCAGAACGTGTGTCACGCTGGCTCCAGAGCCACTGCCAAGAGCTGGCTTGTAACACTGTCCTTGCTGCTCGTCTGGGCGTTGGGAACCTGCTCCTGAGGTAAACTTGTGAAGACTTGTTCCTTCTTACTGCCCACTGAGGCCCTTCTGCTGTACATCGGTGCAGGTGCAGAGAAAACAGTACAGAGCCCCAGATCAGCTAGGCTGGAAATGGCCTCTGAGATCATTGGGTCCAACCTGTGACCAAACACTGCCATGTCAAACAGACCATTCCCTGAAAAGTTGGAAATAATAACCAGAGTTAAACACCTCCAGGGTGACTCCACCACCTCCCTGGGCAGCCCATGCCAATGTCTAATCATGCTTTTTGTGAAGAAATTCTTCGTAATGTTCAACCTAAACCTTCCCTGGCACAGCTTGAGGCTAATTTCTCTTGTCCTGTCACTTGTAGCCTGAAAGAAGAGGCCGATCCCCACCTGGCTACAGCCTCCTTGCAGGTACCAACCTCAGAGAGCTGTCAGATGTCAGTAAAAAGAGCCCATTTCATCAATATTTCAGGCTAGAAAGGGCTTTAACTTTGTGTTTATAATTTTAATAGCTTAAGGATATCTTCTACTGTAGTTAGCAGCGTGCATGATGATTAAAGCAGAGCTGTTGCAATGATGGAAATCATTAACCCTGCCAGACCATGTCAGTTCTGTGCTGGCCCCACATGCTGCAGCTGGTGGGTGATGAGGAGCTCCCCACTGCCCTGTCCATGTGCTGAAATCCTTGTCTCCAGCATGAAGATGTGTTATATGAGCACAGTGGTTTGATTTGCTGTGGACATTTTCCCAAATCCTCATTGGGAAATTTTGGTTTTTAAGAGTTTGTGTGTAAGAGTATTTTTTCTTTTATTAGATTTGATTTGATTTTGAAGAAAAAAACTAAATTATGCCAGGAAATTGTGTATTACTGCATTTGGAATATGCATAGTTCATTTAGACATCTTTCAATCTGGTAGGAGTTGTCATAGTGGAATTAAATACCAGACAGTAGCTGTGGCAGTAGTTGGTTCAGGGAATACTTAATGTACACAAGATGACTTGACCTGCCCACATAAGAATGGCTGAACTTTAACCACTTTTTATTTTCTTGCCTTTTCTTACAAAGCAGTTTCTGATACCAGCACAGACAAAGAGGGAAGACCACAACAGTAAGGTCAGGAAATTGATCCTAATAATAGGCAACTTGTTGCCAGGCTTAGCAAGAAACACCAAAGAATGGCTGTAAAAATAAATAATAGCTTTGTTGATGTGTTTTACATGGTGATTCCTGACGATGAGATTACTATTTTGAGATGTAATTTCTTTTACACCTGATTCAGTCCACTGCAGATTCAAAAAACTTTTATATGCTATTAAGTATATATTTCCCAAGTTGTGACTTGAACTATTTCAAGGAATAGTGAAGATAATAGTTTTTGTGACAGTTTATGGACTAAGATTAATCTCTTTAGTTTCATTAGTGACACTTATTATTGAGATATTTAAAAACTTTTTTTTTAAAAACGCTTATCTGGAATGTTAATGAATAATCCAAACATGGTATTTGCTACCTGAACATGTTTTTAAAGTTATTTCTGAAATACTGTGTTCCATTTAATTCCATTTTACCATGTGTTTTAGAGCTTGAAGTTGGAAAACAAATGGGATTATGAGTAGTGTCTTCCAGAAGAGTAGTGTTGGAAGTGGAAGGTTCCTTCTTCCTGGAGACAGCTGCAATGGAGAGGATGTCCTAGAGATTGTGGCTCCTAGTGATGTAAAGGAAGAAGACACATAGTGTTTTCTCAGTTTGTGATGTCTCCTTCCTCACTGTTGATAACCATTGGAATAAATAACTGGTTTTATTTGGATGCCTGCTTCATCAGGCATCTCAGTCAAATGATTCCTTTCTGTTGTACAGCCTATTAAATGCTCATCTGCTCTCAGGTGATTTTTCAGTTTACCTGTCCAATTGAAACAGTGATTTGAGTAGAGGGAAGATTATCCTGACTGTGCAGTCTTGCAACTTCCTGGGTTCCTGTGCCATCACCTTCCTTGGTGGCAGAGGGTCACAGGCACAGAAGTTAAAAGGTTGTTGAAAGTCTCATTTTTATGTCATCATGAATCACAGGTTTGTGTTACTAGGAGAGATCCTAGTGTTATTGCAGGGGGAAAAAAACAGACAAGCATTTTGTAGTAGGCTACAGTAGTTTCTAAAATGATGTATTCTATGAGAAAATGCAAAAAATACATCCACTGTAAATTTTCATTGAAAGTTTTTAATACAGCACCTAAATGCTCAAGGCTGGGTGCCTTTCCTCCTCATCAATGACATAGTTTGGAAAAATTATCAGCAGTTACAGTTTTCTAATTAAACTTATATGCATCATAAGTGGATGCATTGTATTATGAATAGATTATAAAGAATAAATGGTTTTGTTTAAACAATAGTATTGCTTATAAATTCATAGAGGTTTGTGAACAGCAGGACCTCCTTGTATACCAGTGAACAGAACTGTGATCTCACAGGCTGTGAGGTTATTTTGCTGTGTTATGGTTGCTGTGTTCAGGACCTGTGTTTTCTGTGAGAAGCATTTCTGCAGAGCTCTGAGTCCTCCCAAATCTGTTATAGTTGAAAGTGGTAAAACTTCAACATTTGGATTAAAAAGTCTATGTAGATTCCCAGATATTTACTTTAAAAGGGAATAAAGTAATCAACAAAAATGAACCATATTGAAGGTAAATGTGTCTTGTGTTAAGAACGCCAGTAGCAATCCACATATTAATTTTTTTTTAACAAAACTGAATATTTTTGTCACTCTTTGTTTTACTAACAAACCATCTTATCCCATGAGTTGCTTTTCTCAGCAAACCAGCAATTATCAGTACTTGTGACTGCTCAGACCCCTCTCTGCTTCAGACACTGCTTGATGTGTTCAGAAAAGAATCTGATGCAAGTAATGCACCAGCGACTAGGAGGGGTTGGGTTAAATATGGGTTAGGAGTAACAGGAGTAACAACCCACTGCATCTCACTGGGCCCTTGCCCAGTTTGGGCACAGGAGCTGCTAGGAACTGCTTCCCTGTTCCTGGAGTTGGAGATGCTGCATGACAGGCAGTGGGCTGGGTAGAACCTGCACAGGGGCTTTCACCACCCTCTGTCCATGCTTTCACTCTTGTGTCCTGCTAAACTACTCAAACTTGCATTTTCTTTGGATAGACATATCCAAATTGAGCATTGAGCATTATTGAGCATTTTCTGTTGGGAACGCACCAACTCTTTTGGGTGAAAAGTGTTCTGTAATTTTCCAGGCTAGCTGCAAAAGACCTCTTTGAAGAGGACTTCTGCAGTTGGCCAGAGGGAGGGAAGAGAGGGGAATTTCACAGCTGAATTACCCTGTGGCTGACTAATTTTATGCTTTCTGGACTAAATTGTCTTTGAAGTGTATCAGTCCTAATATGGGCATTATTTACTCTTTGGAATATAAAGAAAATAAATTTTAATGGCTATAAAAGTTGGAAATAACAACCAGAATTAGAGCTTGCACCCAGCATCCTCCTTCTTGGTTTTATTTGACAGCTTAAAAGAAGCAACTACATGCTGTTGCATTCCAATAACATTTATCTTAAGAGCTGTAATCAATGCTTGCTTTGTTATGTTGATCAGGTTGTATACCAGGTGGGCCTTAAAAGCATCTGAAATCCGTGAGCTGTCTTTGGCATTGTGTATCTCATTTTTCTTTTCTGTCTTTCCAATTTGCTAAGTTTGCTGGAAATTTCATATAAAGACATGAACAATTCATGCATGCAGAACATATTGACTTCTGTTTTTCACTAACATTCATTGACCTTTTAGGTCAATAAATTTTGAAGTTGACTTAAGAAGTCAATATGCCTGATTTTAATTTAGATTAAGTTTTAGTCTGATTCAGCACTCTGCTTCTCTTTTTACAATTTTTTTTTTAAAAGCTTATAGGCAATTTATTATTAAAATGTATGTCAAATAAGAACTTTTCCCTACAGTTGTGGTAATCCCTGTCTGGAATATAATTTTTTGCTGTGTTCCCAATGCACCATTTGTAAGTGACATTCCAGCCTCCCAGTGTATACTCTGTCCCTCTCAACTGCTTCAACATCAATTGTAGAAAATAATACAGATAATTAAACAAAACCATGTGAATTTCAGGAGCAAATGTTTTCCATCACGTTGGAATTTCACCTTACATGAGCAAATTTTACTTAAATCACATTTCCTTCTGACAGTATTAATTCCATCAAGGAAGCTTTGTTAATACTAATTACCAATACCAATTATATTATTTCGTCTTTCCTTTTCATTGAAGCTTCAATGAAAATTCATCAAGTGGAGGACATGATTATCATAATAATTTTTAAAATCCACCTCAAGTCCCTTACCCACATACACACAAAAAAATGGTAATAGCATTGAAAGTGCATGTGAGTGCATGCATGTGAGAGTGTACTTGTCAAAATTTTGTGCACAATACATCTGTCAGTAAAAAGGAAGGGAGTATTTCCTCTCCATTTTTGGTTTGCTGCCATGGGCGCTTTCCTTTGATAAAGTAATTTGGCTTGCACATTCTTACAGAAGTCAGTTCAGTGGTATTAACTTAAAATTTTTGTGATTTTTCAATCTGTTTGGTTCCTTCAAATGACATTACTACTGGTGTAAAGACAATGTAATTTTAAGTAGCTGTAGTTTGATCTTATGGAATTTTGCCCATACAGTATGGTCAGCTGTCACAATGTTACCTTAACTTCATTTGCTATAATTGACAAAAATAGCCTAATTGTTTTTCAGTGGGGGACAAAAGCAGTCATGGAAATTATCAAATGGTATTTCAAACAATGAAGTAATAAGAGAAACAATGCTTTACTCTGCAAAAATATGTCACTCTAAGATAGCAGCTGATAGCTTGCAGATTCTGATTTTAGAACTGGAACTTCAACAGCTCATAAATTTCGGTACCATCTAACACATCTGGAGTACTAATTTGACAATTCAATAAAGGAAAACACTATCAATCATAAGGAAAATATCTTTGAGGAAGGATCTGTAGTGTACGTAGAGACAACATTGTGCATTGATTTTAAGTGTTAATGCTTGCTTTTAGCATTGGCTTTCTGGATCTGATTTAGCCTGTAGAGCCATTCCTCTTCATTTTGAATTAAATCCCATGTATGTTCGTCTTTGCATTTAATGTGTACAGGCCAGTCCTATTTCTGCTCATGTACACCTGGATATTTTTTTAGGGATTTGGAAGTAAGGACAGAAAAATTGTGTTGCACATGTGACAGCTGCTTTGTAAGCATTTTTCCCTTCCCACTCGTAGCTGCCATGCTCTTGAAAATCACCAGTGTATTTGCACAATGTGCTGCTGTGCATAGGCCATGAAACTGCTGTCATGTCCCTTGCCAATCCATGGTAATACTTAATTGTAGTTTCAGAGTATCTTCACCTTTGCTTTGACCTGCCCTTTCTTTGCTTGGTATTGGCATTGCTTTGTGTTGTATTTGTGCAATGTATTGGCACTCAGCGGTGAATAATTTCCTTTTAAAGCTTCCATTTTGAGTGTATGTGGTTGGCTAGTTATTCTTTCTATGGTATTGTTCCTTTTCACTTTCTGTTTAAAATTGCATGATAACTAGAGCTGAGAAACAATCTTCAAAGAGAATCCATGTTATTATGAGAAATGTTACAGATTTTCCTTTTTTCTTTTAGGCATTGATTTTAAAGTAAAGCCAGTAATGTTTAATGATACAACAGTGAAACTTCAAATATGGTAAGTTTTAATTAGTATCACAGAAGAAAGGAACTAAATTGCATTATGACGTGAAAAATCTCATCTACTTTGAATTGTGTGACTCCATAAGGTGCAGGTGCTCCTACTAGAAAATTTTAAAAATTGAATTTAGCCTGGGAGAGTACTGTTTTTTTGCAACAACTAATGGAAGTTAAAAAGAGGGCTGTCACCGGGTTGCATTAGCAATAAAACTTGCAGCATGCAAACAAGTGCAGGTCTGTGATCCCTTTGAAGTGTATTTAATTGTGTGGAAGCATTGAGGAAAGTGACAAAGCAAGAGGATGTTACATTTCATTGCCCATCAAATGTATGTTCAAAAGGGTCAACAAGAAAAATTACTTTTGATAAGAGGAATCTTTGGGAACGTGCATTCTTTATGGTTTTGAAATTTTTCTAAAGGTTATGTAGGGCTTCTGACACCTGGCTCTCCAGGCATCTAGTACTGAAGATTATCTCTATATACCAGTATTTAACTTGTCAAGGAGTAAATCTGTGTATGAATTATCTGACCAGTATTTAATCTGCACTTATTTCATCTCAGGCTTTAATGCAAAAATAATAGAGGCTTGTTTATAGTTTTAAGGCATAATTCATAGAATCATAGAATATGCTGAGTTTGAAGGGAACCATCAGGATCATTGAATCTGACTTCTGGCCTTGCACAGGACACCAAGAATCACACCGTGTGCCTGAGAGCATTGTTCAAATGCTTCTTGAACTTTTGTCATGGTCAATAGGTGACAAAGGTTTTTCTCTGGGTGAAAAACCTTTTCCTGATAGCCAGCCTGCCTGCCCCTGACTCAGCTTCAGGCCATGTCCTCAAGTCCTGTCACTGGTCATGAGAGTGAAGAGATTGGCACCTGCCCCTCTGCTTCCCCTTGTGAGGAAATTGGACTGCAATGAGATCTCCCTTCAGTGTCCTCCAGGCTGAACAAACCAAGTGACCTCCGACACTCCTTGTATGGCTTCTCCTGTTATCATGGCTCTCCTTTGGATGCTCTCTAAGGGTTTAATGTCTTTTTTATATTGTGGTATCCAAACCTGCCCCCAGCACTCGAGTTGAGGCTGCCCCAGAGCGAGCAGAGCAGGACAATCTGCTCCCGTACCTGGCTGGTGCTGTTGTGCCTGATGCACCTCAGGACATGCTTGGCCCTCTTGGCTGCTGGGGCACTGCTGGCTCATGTTCAAATTGCCAGTGACCAGGACCCCCAGGTCCCTCTCTGCAGCCCTGCCTTCCAGCAAGTCATTCTCCAGTCTGCACACAAAACCAGGATTGCCCCATCCCAGGTGCAGAATCCGGCACTTGCCTTTGTTAAATTTCATGCAGTTGGTGATTGCCCAGTCCTCTCATTTGTTGAGGTCTCTCTGCAGGGCCTCTCTGCTCTGGAGGGAGTCAACAGCTTCTCCCAATTTAGTATCTTTGGCAAACTTGGTGTCCCTTTGAATCCTGCATCCCAGTGGTTAATGAAGATGTTGAAGAGAAGTGGGCTGAGGATGGAGCCCTGCAGAACCCCTCTGGTGACCAGACCCCAGCCTGATCACCCCATTCACTGTAACCTTTGTGCCCAACCTGTGAGCCAGCATCTCACCCATCACTGAGCATGGCTATCCAGCTGTGTGCTGGACATTTGGTCAGGAGGGTACTGTGACAGACAGTACCAAAAGTTTTGCTTTTGAAGTCCAAAAAGATCACATCTACTGGCTTTACTAGATCAGCTAGGTGGATTACCATTTTAGAGAAGGAAGTCAGGTTCAACAAGCAGGACTTTGGCATGCTGTGCTGTCTGTGGCCAATGACTGTATTGTCGTGCAGGTTTATCTCCCAGAGTAATATTTTTCATTATTTTACTGGGCACTGAAGTGAGACTGACAGGCCTGTAGTTTCCAGGGTCTTGCCCTTCTTGAAAACTGTGACGGCTTTACGCAGCTTCCAGTCAGCTGGGACTCTCCAGACTCCCAAGACTGCTTAAAAACCAAGAGAGGCTTTGTGATGACATCAGCCAGCTTTTTGAGAATTCTCAGATGAATTCCATCAGTCCTCATGGGTTTGTAGGGAGCCAGCTGGAGAAGCAGATCCCACACAATTTCAGGGTCAACTGGGTGTTGATCATTCACACAGTCATGGTCCTCCAGCTCAGGGTGCTGAGACCCCCTTGGTCTGTCAGATCTGTGTTGAACACAAAGAATGCATTAAACACCTCTGCTTGTCCATGTCCCTCTAGGTGAGGTGATCATTCTCATCCTGTAAAGAGCTCATGTTATTTCTACACTGCCTTTTGCCATTCATATATTTGAAAATAATTTCTGTCTCCCATGTTTCTGTCAGCTTCAGCTCCACACAGTTTCTCCATACAGTGACAGACAGAATCTCTTTCCATGTCACCTGACTTTGCTTCCACTGGCCATGCACCTTTCTTATTCATTTTATTTTCCATCAGGTTTCACTCATGCCAGTGATGTCATGTCTCTGGGACTGGGACAAAGCTTGGAGCTTGTCTCATTTGTTCCTCTTGCTTGGTGTAGTAGTGTAGAAACATTTCAGGGATGGTGCTTTGTAGCCAACATGTCCTGAAGCAGATTGAGGGATCCCATTTGTGTTTGTTTCCTCAAGTTTTGGCATTACATGTAAGAATGAGCATGTCCTTTTATTTTATGGCTTTTTCCCAAAACCTGTCTTCCATCTAAACCAGGTTGTTGTTTGTATCACAGTTGAGAAAGGGGTTATCAAAATATAGGGATGTCATCTGACATCTTATCTTTTTATCACCTGAATTATTTATATAAAGAAGGAATGGTGGACTTGACATTACTGTCAAGTTTCAGCCACTGGCTTGGCTTCCCTAGTAGGACTGTATCATACAGAATGAATTTCCAGTGTATTTCTTTTAATTGCTATATCTGGCGCCCAGATTTTCTGTCATCTGTGTTTTTTCTTTTTCCTTTTGTGTTAGAGTACATAATTTAAAATTTGAACAATACTCCTTAGAGTAAAGTAATCTTTCTTGGGGGTTCTGCAGTCTGATAATCTCTTTTTTGTTTGTTTGTTTGTATGTGTGTGATTTGTTACAATTTCCTTCAGGGATACTGCTGGCCAGGAACGGTTCCACACACTTAGTACCAGCTATTTCCGTGGTGCACAAGGCTTTGTTCTCGTATATGACATCACAAATCTGAAGAGTTTTCAAAGTATAACAATCTGGATAAATGACATATATGAGGTAAATATATCTGTCAGCAATTGATCACTAAATGAAGGTAATTAATGTGTCATTTTAATTGACTGCATGAGAGGTATTCTTGTTCCTGTATGTTTCTAATCAGAATTTCTTGCATTTAACTCAGCACACAGTATGATAGTAGAATTACTGTCATCTGAAACTGTAACATGGCTTATATTTAGGTAAGCCCCTGTTGATGGAAGAATGTTTTCTGAAGTACTTCTAAAACATAGCTTCCAATCCTTCTTTGTGCATGCTGTATTGTGGTGCTTTTGTCACTGGTTGTGGCTAAGCATAGATAGTCTGCATGAGCTCATCCTGGGATTTTAATTAGATTTCATATCAAAATTCTGTATCACAGCCAGTGATTTCCCTTTCCTAATTTCATTACTTCAGTGTAGTTACCTCATCCCAAGATCAAAGGAATTAAATATCCTCTTTGTCCTTGCTGCATATTCCTGGAGAGGATGGTTTCAAGAGGGAGGAAGTGGGGTGGGAGGCTGTTTGGTTAGCTCAGCTGCTCGTGGTGCTGCAGTCAGAAATACGTGCTTTCATGTGACATGGGAAGTGATTCAACAGCACATGGCTGCCAGACAGGGTATGTGTTCCACTGGAGCTTGTCTGAGCCCTCTGTGCTTTGCTCTGACTTCCTAATGTGGTAGAAAACTAACCCAGCAAAAGAAGCTGAGTGGTTTTTCTGCTCTATTAGTGAGTTTGAAGGGCTCATAGAAAGGTCTGACACTTACTGGGACTGCAGGAAAGTAAACAGGTAAGAGTAGGAAGACCAGAAGATGAGTGTCTGGAAACAGTGTGAAGGGACAGAGGCATGGGCAAGCCCTTAGACAGGAGATCATTCAGCTGACTCTAACCCTGTATTCCAAGTCTTTTTTGGTAGGTCTCTCTGAATGTGTTCTCTATTAGGTAGAGGCAAGGCAGTTTTAGACTAGAATAGTTCAGCTGTAAGGGACCTTCAATGATCATCTAGCCCAGGTGCCCAACCACTTAAGCACTGACCAAAAGTTAAATTATGTTATTGAGAGCATTTCCCAGATGCCTCTTAATTTGGCTTGGGGAATTGACCATCTCTCTAGGAAGCCTGTTCCAGTGTTTGACCACTGGCTTAGTAAAGAAATGCTTCCCAATGTCCAGTCTGAATATCCCTGGCACAACCTGGAGCCGTTCCCATGTGTCCTGTCTCTTGATACCTGGGAAAAAAGATCAGTGTCATTCTCTCTACTTTCCCTCCTGAGGAGGCTGTAGGGAGCAGTGGTATTGCCCCTCAGCAGTAGCACAGCAGTTTGTAGTTAGTTTGCTTGTGGAAGGGGGTGTAAGAATACAAGCAAGGTAGTGCTCTCCATTGATCAAAATCAAGTAAAGTTTAAGGCAAGTTTTTTAATACTCTTGTGATTTGGTGTGGGTGGATGGGAAAGGGGGCTTTTCATCTTGGGAAAGGGGGCCTGAAATAAAACCATCAAATGCATTATTTTCTCTCTTCACAGCCTCAGTATACAGCTGAATTAATGAATTACACATGATCATATATCCAATAGTATATACATGGGATATCTTATACCCTTAGGAAAACATTACATGCACATTATCTCATTTTTAAAAACATTACTCTGGTAACCTAGTAAATCATTGTTCTTGACCTTAGAGGCATCTTAAAAGTCTTAGTGATAACAAAGCCTAACTTCAGTAGTGTGTTACAAAGGAGATTCGATGACACAATATTCTTATTGGCTTGTCTGCACAAACTTTAAACTAACACATCTGTTTTTTTACTTTTTTAAAAAAAGCATGTGCCTTTCTTCTATTGGCCAAACAAAAGTCACAGCCAGATATGCCACTGGTTGTACAGTTTCATGGCTAGCATAGATTTAGCTCAGCAAACAGTATGATAGGAGTTTTACCATTACCTGAAACTGAAAATGTAGATTACCTGCATATATCCTTTTCTGTCTGTCTAGCTATCATCCATCTATCCATCCATCCATCCATCCATCTATCTATCTATCTATCTATCTATCTATCATCCATCTATCTATCTTTCAACATAAAATATTGTTCTGGCTTCACACTGGCTCCAGTGGGGTCATATTGTCCTGTCATCTTCAATTGGATCAACAGGGTGATGGATTCAGTGGCCTACAGTGCACAGCCATAACCAGCAAGAAGGTATCAGGGCTGTATGGCCAGGGTGGAGGGAAGAATGAGAGCAGCTCCTGTGGCCACCATACAGGTTTAGATCTGATTGAGTCAATCAGGAAATGACACTTGCACAGGCCTGCTCTCCATTCATGACATTTTAAAAGCTTTCATGTAATATACTCAAGGTATTAATACTTAGACTGTTTAATCTTAACCCCTGAAGGTACTTCTGTTAGTTTAAAGTCTAAAAAATGGGAAAATACTCAGTCTAAAACAATTTCTAGGAATGTAAATTGCATGATTGATTGTACCAATCTCAAAACCAGCAATTAGTGTTGTAATAGAGCTAGATAGTAATAAAAAATTTAATTTAGTCCTAGTGGGATATCAATTTCTGAAGTGTCTTGGTGAAAATATATGGGGCTATTCATTGCAAAAGAAATGTTTTTAAGCAATAACTGTTAAAAGACAGGGCATTTCATGAAAATTAATTACTTCCTGGAGGTCGGTGACATTCCTTGCACTTGCTTTGGTCTGTGAATATAAACCAGTATTTAATTCCGTACAAATGCCCAAAATCAAAATGACTGTTGCTACAGCACCATTTAAATTATGCAAGTGTAGAAAAAATAAATAAGTTTTTAAAAGGGAAACAGAGAGAATCCAGACTTCACTAAATACCAGACTAATAGGTGTAAAGCTTGCACCTGAACCAGTCAAACAGGAATTTTGGAGGCAATTCAGTTATTACATTATGCTCTCATTTTTTGGTTCTTTGCACATAAAGATTTTAAAACAGAAAGTTTTTTAAAAATCTGTTCAGTGTGCTAAGCCATTTTTGCAACAATTGAAAATAACAATCCAAGCAATTTAGTATTCTTAAAAACTCCCATTGATTTTATAAAAACTGGCCAGTCAGTGCAATTACAATCAGACTACCAGTAATGTTCTCATTATATTTCAGTTAGTTTAAGTGTGGAATACAGCAGCTTCACTATTAAAAATGAATTATTGTCCAAGGAAGTACAAGACACAAATATGCTTCCATGTCTGTATTGCTGTAAAATTTGAATTCAGAACTAGAGGGAACTAAGTAACATAACTGTACTTTTTTAAAGCTTGCTAGAAAAATATACTCATACACAGATTAATATTTTAGGATGTTACTAGCAAGTCCAATATAGGAATATTGGATTTGTAATGCATTCATTAGGAGCATGGTAATTGCAGGAAGATAACTTTGGAACCTGAAACCATTCTTTATTTGTAGAATTGCAGGTTTATGAAAGTGTTCATCCTGCTGACCTGGCTTTTAGCTGCTGTATGCACCTGCTCTGAAAGGCTGATGCTGCTTGGCCTTTGAAAGTTAAATAAATGCAAGCAGCTGTGTACCAAATCATTTTGCAGAAAACAGTTTTTTCCAGGATGTTTTGAACAAGATTCCAGCTAACATTGGCAAAAGGTTCCTCACGATAGAGTGGCTCAAATGTTCAAATAGATGCCCAGAGAGGATCACTTAAAGGAGGCACTTAAAATTTCATTCAACAAGACCCTGAGTAACCTGACAACCTGACCTGATTTTGAAGTTGGCCCATCTTTGAGTGGAAGACTAGACCAGCTAACTTCTAGAAGTCCTTGCCAGCTAAATCACTTCATTAGCTTCTGGGTCTCCAAAAATGGTTGACATAGGTGGTAGGTTATAATTTACTTCTAAATACCTTGAATTTGTTTTAATTGTGCTAGTCTTCTGATGTGGCCATCAAGGTGGCAATACCAGCTCCTAACAATTATCTCTGTGCTGGAAATTGTCTGCCATCACAGAATTTTCTGCATGGAGAAGATAATTTTCTTTTCTTGAGCAAGTCTTGGTTACAGTAGTTTAGTGTTTTTTAATACATTAACTTGCTATTTTTCCTACCTGAAGAAGTGATCCCTCAATCAGGCTATGAACTGTATGAATTACTGAGTTGCTCTCATTTCTGCATAGTGCCCTTTTTTGGTTTGGTTCCTCTGGTGCATTTGGGAGACTAGACTGTATTTCAGCATCATACTTAAATAAAAGCAGTACAGCAAACTGCTTTACAGGTGCAAATTAGTTTGACTTGAAACTCTTCTCAGTTTTTCTTCCTCAGGTGGGAAAGCTTGATGTCAAAAGATTGAATTGTCCCAATTGATAGATGGGTTTGTCATTATGGCTCTGATTAGAACTTAAAATTCTTGCTCTTGCCATTTTATTAAATTGGTTTATCTGTAGTCTTGGGTTGGCTTTGGGATAAATTGGTTTATATCTAATGCATTCTAAATTTACTAGTAGACAAATGAATTTGATCAGTCATTTATTTCCACCGAAGTCCTGGAAACCAGGCATTTGTAATGGAGGTCATAAAGTAGCACTTAGGAAAATATGTGGGAAGAGATGTTTGGCAATCCTAATATGAACACTGCTCATGTGATGCTTTCATGAGGACATGAGGACAATCTATTTCTAACAAGTTGTTCTTCATACTGCAAAGGGTAGGTTTCTAGTGTCATTGTCTAATGAGTAAGAAGATGAAGTTTCCCAGTTTTATGGCCTGCTCCAGCTCTGCCTTCATCTTGATATTTGACCATGTACATCTTCTTCAAATGTGAAAAGCTACATTTCTTCCTCAAATACAGACTATTTAAGAATTCCCATAGTTTATTTGTCAGGTATGGGTTCTCAGTTTCACTGTTTGGACCTACAAACAAACTTCTGTTGCCTTTTCAAACTGCAATTAATGAGCATCACTGTCAAGCAGCCTTTCACAGCTACACCCTGGAGATGTGGTGAAGGGACAATGTGGTGTTCTGGAAGATGTATCCCTGGATAGATAGCTTTATACAAGGAGCTCATAATCATCATGGGGAGTTTGCTGCAGGGGAGGTTGGGATCATTCTTCGTAGGTCTGTGTTCACCATTTAAGAAGTGAAGGGATAGTTCCTTCCAATAGTCTGTAAGTACAGATATGGTGTAGTTTTCTCATAGAAAAGGTGTCTGCTACTTTTCATACTCACATAAATTCACAGCACTTCTGGAAAATAAAATCTGTAGGAAGAAAAGACCTGACATTTGAAAAAAAACCCACCCAAATCCCCAGACAAATTATATACAAAAGGAATGAGCAAGATATTTTCGCTTTTGCAATTTTGATTTCTGTGAATAGCCTCATAGTGAGGTTGTGTATTTCCCTGGCTGGGTGGACATTAAGCAGTGGGGTGAAGGGCATGGGTGGGTGGCCCCTGTCAGCAGTGTGCTACAGAGCCTGTGGGACTGTGATGTGAGTGTCCAGTGTTCCGATTCCAGGATGTGGCACTGCTCAGTTTGAGGCTCTGCTGCTGCTCCCTCCCGTGGCCACTGCTCAGAGCAGCCTGGCTCCTGCTGCTGCCAAATCCAGCTGGCTGGGAACCCAGTGGGTAAAAAACCCTTCTGGCAAAACATGGTGGCTCCAAGCTGTGCCAAACACTTGAGAAGGCTTGGTCAGTCTCAGTAAATCTCTTGACTCCATTTTTTTCAGAAAAATACAATGATGATGTTTTCCTTCTCAAAATATAGTACTGTAGGTATTCTCCAGGTTCAGATTATATTTATTTTAACCTTCAGTAAAATGTGAACGTTGAAATGTTAAAATGCAAAGAAAATGTGAGAGAGTGAACCAAAAATTGGCATTTTTTGAGATACTGGAGTAAAACTTTATCTGGAAAAAAATTATTTCTGTCTTGATGAAATTGATGATTTTTAATAGTACTTTTCCATAATATGGGGGGGAAATGTTTCCTGAGTCTATGAGCTTATTCAATGCTGACTTGCATAATAGGATTTTAACTGTAAAATAGCCTTCATCTTTTTAGCTATAGATTTTGCATTTGGAAAGCTTATTCCTGAGCTATAAATAACAGAGCATGAAAATATACAGCAAGCTTTTGGAAGCACTGAATAGCCATATTTTTGGACAGTTGAAATCAGTGTATCCGTGCAGTTTTTATGCCAGCTGAGCACATGGTAAAACTTCTGCCTAGACATATTGATTTAATTTTTTAAGACATCCTACATAATCAGTTTTCAGAATTTAAAATGGACATAATTTTGACTAACAGTCTTCAGTTTTCTAAATGCATGAAACTGCATGATACCATCTTTAAAAAAGGAGAACCGTAAGTGCTTTGGTGGAGGATCCAAAGTGCAAATACATTAATACATTGTATTGATGTAGAAACAGCAGTTATTTGCAGAAATAAATATTTTGTGATTGGTAGTCGTAATAAAAACTTCCTGAAAGGCCTGGTACCTCAAACCTCATTTAAATGTTGTTATTGTTTGAAGCTGTTTAGAAAGAACATTCCTACTGCAAAAATTTGTGCTGTTAATACAGAAATTAAGCTACAGAATTAATTTAGTTGGTTTGTGCATGCAGTATAAAATATTTCCCTCTAGACATTAACTTCGCCGTGAAGTCAAATGTCACTTGTAAAACCTTCATCAACCTTCAGTATACTTCCAAATTAAAGGTTGATTACATCATGAGATTTAATTTTCTATTTAGCCTATTTTGGGACTGATATATGTGGTTTTATGTAGGAGAGCCACTGATTTTAATGAGTGAAGCTTCAATGCATTCTGAAACAGCCAGTGTTTTGGTCTATTAATCCAGGTTAGAATACTTCATTATTTTAGGCCTCTACTTTGCACTCTTATGAAGTTTACTTCATTTTAGTAAATTGTGGGTATGAAATAAGTCTAGATGATTCTAAGAGGAGAATGGAATAAGAAAAAAGAAATAGTGTCCCTTAATATTAAATTTTGCCTACTGATGAAGTCTTCAAATTGTTGTAAAAGTAGAAACAGACTAAAAATAGTGTTCTCTCATCCTTTAATGAATAGAGGTTTTTCTGTGTATAGTTGTAGGGGATTTTGTCTTATGGCAAATTTGCAAAAGTTTAGCATTTGACAGAGATCAGAGATTTCATCAAAGTCCCTGTAAAGAGATCTGCAGCCTGAGACCAGGCCTTTTGAGTCATCAGGGAAGCTGTGGGAGCATGTACCTCCAGAATAAAAGCCATGCCATCAACTACAGTAGCTTCAATTGTTTTTCGATTGAGACCCTCAGTGTCCTCCATTTAAGCACCAAAAGCAGTTTTAAATGTTATGATTTTCACAATGAATGTCAGTTTTCAAATTCCACATGCTGTTGCAGAATTATTCCCTTTTCTTGTCATTATTCCAGTCACGTATAGTTATAATGACTTATCTTAAAATAACACTGATGTGAAAAACCCAGTGCATTTCACAGTCATCATGCATGCGAGTGGATTAGAGGAACAGAGAAGGAGACAAGGTCAAAAAGGTAGATTTTTCTTCCTTTTAAAATCAATGAGGTTTTAAAATTTTACTTCGTTAAAATCTATTGCCTTCTTCCTAGTGTCTTGGAATAATCAGGCTTTTATGTTGAGTTTGAACACTTTGAAAGTAATTTTACTGTCTGTGTGCAAAAGTGAAGCACAGAGAGGTGTTCTTTCAGGTGCAACTAATTCCTTCCCTTTTACTTGTGAGTGCTGGATGTAGAGCAGAGTCATATGCTAATCCATGAATCTATTACTTTTAGTAGGGCAGTGTCTGTGAATTCAGGGCATTTCCAGTCACTTTAAAGCCTCAAGCTGGAGCATTCATCAGAAGATGGTGCCCATGCACCATATACTTTATATCTCATGAAAGAGGTTGGAAATTATACGTGGCACTTCCAGGTAGCTTTTTTCTGCTCTTTGCATTCTTGCTGTTTTCCTCCAAATCCCAATAACTGGTGGAAAATATTTGCACATACGAAGGTCATGAGAGAATTTAGCCTTTACTTTCAAGGAAATGGAGTGCTGAAGGTTAGTGTGAACTTTAGGTGAAGGGTTTTTTTTGTTTGCTTTTTTCTTACTTGACATTTATTAATGCTGGTTCTCTTTTAGAAAGCAGGTGATGAAGTGGACGTAATACTGTTGGGCAACAAGTGTGATAAGGAGTCAGAACGGGTAGTTCCAAAACAGAAAGGAGAAAAGGTATCTTTAGTACTTTCTTTGGGTCCTCCTGAGTTTCTTAGTATGTGACTGAGCTGTTCAATTGAAAATGATAAAAAGCTCCTGAATTCCAAAAGTTCTATTAGGACTTGGCTCTAGAAGAACAGTTGTGAAGTTCTAGAGTGCTAGAAATACATTAAGTAATCCCTGTCTGATCTCTTCAGAATACTGATTTTTCTTTTATAGGTTAAAATGTACTTTAAAAGTTTTAGATGTTACAACAGAAATCTTATATAGACTGCATTTTCAGAGTACTGTGGTAATGTAGAATATTAGAATGAAATACATTCTGCATACTTTTTCTGATACCACCCATCAGTGAAAGAACTATTTTGGCAGCCTGTGCAAAGTGATCTGCATTGTCTCGTAAATAGCCTTGAATAAGACTGGACAAATACTGAACATCCAGCTCCCCAAAATTGTGTACGTGACATATAGTTGACTCTACTGCAGTAGAGTTTCTAGCTGCTGATCATGGGTGGGGGTAGAATTTATTAAGTGGGGAGTGCTGTTCTAAGGGGAATAGCAGAACTCTCTCACTGAGAGCCAGTGAGGAAATTCAGAAGCCATGCTATGACAGAAGAAACTGGAATAATAATTAAATATTGCAGGACAGCGTGTCCTATATACCAGTAAATTTTGCTGCTGCAAACTGTATGCATCTGTTCTCTGGAACTTGGAATTAGCCCTCCTGTTATGCTTTCAGGCATAGTGAGTGAAGCACGATGTCTCATGTTTAAAGAAAAACACACTCATAGCTTCTTGCCAATTATATAATCCCAGATTAGGAAACTTTAAAAAAATAACATCAACTTTTGGACAACATTATACTCCTGAGAGTTCATAGTTCACATGCAAGATGCTTTCAGTGTTAATGTACCATATCTGTGTACAAGGAATAATGATTTTTCCTTATAATAAAAATGATAATATTTTTGCTGAAAAATACACGTTGTAGTCTCACATAAAGGATGCGCTGTCAGAAACCTAGAGAGTCACTGGATGCATGTGCACCAGAGGGCAGTAGTAGGGTTTTGCTTAGGGTATTAACCATGACATTTTCTGACTTCTGGGTCCTTAACCAGGCAACCAAAATTCCTCTTGATGTAGTATTTTTTTTTAGAAAGAAATCATTACCTCCTCCCCAGTGAGTCTGCTTTCTAGATTTCGCCTGGGTTTTGAGTCAAGGCAACTCTTCTGTTATACTACTTCTTCTTTTAATATGCTAAAGGATCTGACTGAATGTGCTGGAGAAAGATTCTGTTGGCAGAGAGAGAGACACACAGTAATTGTCCTCTCGCTCTAAAGAAGAAGATATCCTAATTAAGAGCGGAAACAGTTTAATTCTAACTTTGACAAACAATAATTTGTAGTTTCATATTTCATATTATCCTGATAGAATGAGCTTGAAGTGTTGTTGTATTCAGTCTCTTGCACAGAAAAACTCCAGGTTCCCTGGGAATCTCATCATCTATATTGGCATTTCTGTAAAAATCTGTTATAACTGAATGGTTATTGTGTATAATTTCATTTCAGTTTAATGCTGAGAAATTTTTTTGTTGTTTCTTTTTGCACAAAATCATGTAATAATTCATTTTGTACAAACTTATGTAATTGTGATCACTCAGAAATTAAGATATTTAATTTTAACACTATGAAGTATAATTTTCTTGTATTAATTGCTTCTTATTCATTTACATAAAAGTTCTAACTCAACCTTCTTGAGCTCCTCTGTTCACCCCCCCCATATGTGTATCATTTTCATTGAAAGATAAAATTGCTGAAGCTTATATGACTTGGTAGAATGTGGCTGGTTTTCTCCTTTTCCAGTCTTTCTAACAGAAAGAGACAAGTAAAATCTTCCTTTTTTTTTTTTTTTGCTTTTGCTGTCTTCATAGCTGAAGCTGATTAATAGTTTCAAAGCTGATTTTTCATATGTAATAGAACTCTGCACAGTTTTGGAATATTTCAGACATATCTCTCTGATTCAGCACTAAGAAATCACACCAGCACTTTGCTAGGAAGTATTAGCATTACTTATTTTATTGTTGTTGGTAAGATACAATCTTATTTCACACAAGTTCTCCAAACTGTTATCAAGGAGATTATAAAATAACGTTTCTCTGTAGCATAATTCCCACAGCTTTGTAAATGTATTTAGGTATTTTATTTATGGATCTATTTAAGATGCTCCCAAAGGGAAAAAAAAATAGTTATTTGAATACACTTTTCTGTGGTCTTTCAGACAGGGAGGAGCCAAATACATGTTCATACTTTCAACTGCTTTACCACTGGACCAGTGGGAGTTTTTGCACTGAGCCACATTTTTGGAAGGCGTTCCTGCCACAAAGTTTAGCAGTATGCAGGGTGAAGTTAAAAAATACAGACAATAATCTTCTGTGACCTATATTGTACGCATATAGAGAAAATGGGGGTCCATTGATAGGTGTAGTGAGCAATGTAGAAACATGATACAGAGAAGGGTCAAGTATTCAAGTTTTTTTGATTTTATTTGATTTTTCTTTTCTTTGGTCTTCACAAATAGAGCTTGCTCCCAGGCCTGTGCAGGTCCCTGATGTTTTGGGAAGGAGCAGGCCAGCCAGCAGTGGGAAAGCTTCAGATTAGAAATTGCTTAGGCGAGTTGGATGTGCCCATAGACATGATGAAGTTCTCCCAATTGTGCTGAAAGAGCTGATCATTGTGATTTGAGCCACTGTCAGTCAACTCTGAAAAATAATAGTGGTTGGAAGAGATCCCTTTTGATGCCGTGATGTGTCTTTTAAAAAAGGCAAGGAAGAAGGTTCTGGGAGCTATAGGCAGTCAGCTTTGCCTCAGTCACGTTGTTTGGCATCTTCATTGGTGATTTGGCTGATGATAGAAGAAGATTTGCATGTGACATGAGATTAAGGGGTGCGACTGGCGCACCACACAGGAGAACACCAATTCTGTGGGACCTTGATAAACTTGGGAACTGGGCCAGGGAAAACATTGTGAAGTTCATGAAGTGCAAAGATTTGCACCTGTGATGGAATAATCCAAGGCAGGAGTCACTGTCCTTCCACAAAAGACTGATGAGTTCCTATGAGCACCAGCTTGAATAGAAGTCAGCAATGTTCCCTCATGGCTTTAAAGGTGTTGGACTACATTAGAAGGATAATGGATGGTGGATCTGGGGAAATTATTATCCCCCCTTACTTAGTGCTGACAAGGCCACATGGAATATCTTATCTAGCTTTGGCTCTCCCATTTCAAGAAGGGTGTTGAGAAACTGCAGCTGGTCCAGCAGACAGCTATAAAGGTGATTGGTGTCTAGTACTGGTATTCCATGAGGAGAGGGAGCTGGGTAAAGAGCAGGCTAAGGAGCAGTTAGTGGTCTGCTGCAACAGAAGTGGCACTAAAGGAATGACAGAAATGGACTCTTCTCAGTAGAGACAGACAATAAACAGATGGGGAGCAGACACAAGTCCTGGCTTGGGAGGTTCAGGTTGGAGTTGAGGAGAACCAGTTGCACTAGAACGTTGATGTAGCCATGGAAGAGGGTCCCATAAAGGCTACAGAATCTCCATCATTGGTGGATTTGAGCATTTCTGTAGGCAAAGCCATGCCTGACCCAGTATTGTGTGGGCAGTAGCCTCATTTCAAGTGGGGTTTTCTTTCATAATTATTTCTGCAATTCCACGATTTAAAGGGTTGGCTAGTGTTCATCAACGTTTGTAAATAAGTAACTTACCTGTTACATGATGCAAGAAAGAAAAGGGCATTTAATAGTAGTTTCTGTGTACTTTATAATCAGCGAGCCAGTAGTTCTCTCTACTTCATTAGTCCAGTATTCTTTTATTGCTTGTCTTTTTCTTTATGAACCCTTATGCATCATTGTTTTGTACTGGCAATAGTTGAACGATCTTAACTTTCTGCAACAAGTTGCTGCAGTACTGAAAACAGTTCGCAGCAGTCCACTGAGTTTCAGAATCCCTTATGAATTTATGAAGTAGTCTCTGTCTAATGAATCAGTTAGATTTCATCTTTATTTTCAGAACTACAACTTGTTGAAGCATTTTAGACAGGAAACCATTTTGCTTACTTTGGTTTTTTTCACCTCTAGTGTAATCTTTATTATATTTTGACTAAAACTCTGAAGTCTGATTATTGTATATATATTGTGTTGAAGTTTTTTTATTCATGCCGACATAACTCAAAGCTATCTGCAATGGAAATACACTGGAAATAAGACAACAGGAGTAAATTAAAGAAAACCAGCCAAAGTCTATGCTGCCCATCTAAGTATTTTCTCTCTTTTCCTTTTACCATAATATCATTTTACATGCATATGTTTTCTTTGCATGTCTGTTATCTCTGTGCTTCTCTCTGTCTAGCATAAAGGAACATCTCTTTTTTGTATTTCATCCTGCCACTGTTTTTCAACAGTTCTTGTCATATTTTTATCTGCAGGTACTCCATTAGTTTCCTCTAAATAATTGTTTAGGAGACAGATCATTTTGCAAATAAATCAAAACACTGAGAACAGACCCACTGTATTTTATTTTTGTTATTTGCAAATAAAGATTGGTTAAAAAAGCTGTTTTGAAAACACAAAAATTTAAGAATGTTTTAGAAGTGTTTAAAAATGTTTTTAAAATGTTTTGTTTTTGAAATTTATAAACTGAGGATAAATATAGAGTACTTTACTGAGCAGTCATGTACTCAATTAAGGTTTTTATGGAGCAGTCAGAACACCTTCATATTGCTTGCTGCTAGTATTAGGAACTGTTTTTTTCCTGCAGAATGTTCATCCCATTTCCTACGTGTGTTTTTCAGCTTGCTTGGGAATACGGAATGCCATTTTTTGAGACCAGTGCCAAAGAAAACGTGAACATTGAGCATGCATTCTCAGTCTTGACTAAGGAAATCCTGGAAAAGGTAGGCTTCTTTTCAAAGGAGAAAGAAGATGGGAGATTTTTCTTCTCAGATTGGGCAAATAAGGTTGTAACTACAGAATAGTTTGAGCAAAGCACAGCTGATGCTGTTTTTGCATTCTGCAGTTAGTATTTTGGGGGCATCCTGTAGCTGCAGGCATACAGAGGAGGAACATGGGGGAGAAGAATCGTGGGAGAAGAGAAAAATAGAAGAGGTGAGCAGCTACAATACAGTTCAGAGAGAAAGTGAAAATTCAGGAAGTCTGCATTTGTGGCTTTATTTCCCATACTTTCCTTTAAGGGAGAGGTTAACAGCTCCCAGATAATTCCACTTCTGTGCCAGGAAGATTCCTTTTTCCTCTGGGTTTCTGCAGAGTGTGCACACAGTGAAGATGCTACATGATGATGGAATCAGTGGAGCTTTATGTTCAGCAATCAAATGTTTTATCCAAGGTTCATAGCTGTTTGTTTGGTTGATTTACACTAGTGCTTTTGAGTTATCAGGGCCTAAGGATTTGAGTTAATTAGTGGTAGAATCAATATTGTATCTGTCAGAATCAGCATCTCTCTAACTTGAGTGTATTGGCTTAAAGGTCGTTACTCCTCAAAGTTGCAGTTCTTTTGTAGGACTGAATTATTGTTCATTAGCTCTGAAAATATTTTGCATTGCAATTTATTTTTAGGCAGCAGAGTATTATTTTAGACTTTAATAGATGTTCTTCATGCAATGTATTATCACTGCCATTCATCACCAATATTAGTTGTACAAAACTAACCTTCCACTCCAAATACTCTTCAAATCATAATAAAGATAGATGAGCAAAATTACTGACAAAGTCACAAGTAGCAGTGTTTTGATTAAGTAGCCTTAGGGGGTGGTCAGGGGATGGTGCTGTTAAATCAGGGTCTTGTCATACTACACAGTAACACAAGTTGTAGTTGGTTATTTTGGGGAAGGAAAAAAAAAAGGCAAAAAAATATTTTGGTTACTTTGACATAAAAGTGAAGCTCAGCAACTGAACAGTTAAATATTGTTTAGAACAGGAGGATAATGGCAGGCCCTTCAGTTACTGAGCTTGTTGGAAAAAAGTCTCAAGTAAAATAACTCTGATTTTGTTGTAAATGAAAAAGACATTGTCTACTGTAAATAGAGAATATATTGTTAGTATGAAACATGAAAACTATAAAACAATAGTTCTGATCATAAATACTGCAAAGACAAATATGTGTGAAGTAAGCATTTCTGCAGAGTGTGTTTAGATGATATCTAAGAGAATTCTCTGCACATGCAGAAATGATGTTTGGGTATTTTTCACATTAACATTGGCTACACTTACTTTATGGTAAGTGAAACTTCAGTATTCCTGCCCACCTTCATGAAAATTCATGGGGTTTGTAGTGTGGACATGGCAAAAAAATTCAGGCCACGTTGAACATGTTACACTACTGCTTGGTTTTAATTAGAACTGGTTTAAACAGTTATATGCTCTACATGTATGTGTGTTTGGAAAATGTGCCCATGAGAATTTGTCATATTTGTCTGTAGTAACATTTCACCTTAGCTAAAAATATTTGGAATCCTGATGAGGCATCATGTACCATTTCTTTGGTGTATAATTTGCCATTTTTAGTCAAATGCATCTGTTGATTTAAACAAGAGGCCCTTTAGCCCAATTGGTTTTACCACTGGCCTGATAAGAAAGAGTTTGCTGGGGGAAAAAAATCCACTGTACAGTTTCATCATGGTTTTCAGGTTCGACAAAATAATTTGCCTGTTCACAAAACTGTGAAATCTGAATGTACTGCTTGAATTTTAACTTCCTCTAACTGATGAAATTTTGGAGAATGGAAAATGCAGTAGCAAGTGTGACTAGTAGCTGTGAAAAATTACATGATAGATGCCAGTCTGAGATAATTTCAGTCATACATCCATTTGGTAGTGGTGAAATACGTATTTGCTGATTGTAAAAAGGAGATACAGCTTTGCACAGTGTTTTGGCCCAAGGCACCTGTGCCTGGGGATATCAGACCTCCCTGCCCTCTGCAATGGACCATCTGTCCCAGACTGATGAGATGCTTCAGTGGGAGCACATCATTGCTTTCCCAGTCCCACAGAAGAAAGGAACTCCCTAGGACAGTCTATTATGGCCACGCTTTTGGGAAGTGCGTGAAGCCTACTCAGAGATAAGATAAATAAGCAGGGTAGGCTGGCAGGCAGTAGACCATTCTGAGACTGTATTAATCTGAGGAAATCTAGGACTTTTTATGTACATTCTTGCTTGCCATCTACTGTGGACATGTCCTTAGTAACTTCATTTACACAAAGCACTCCTGTAGATGGGGAAGATTGATATCCAGAGTTATAGAGCTCATACAGAAGTACTAAACTTCTTGACTCTTTCAAAATTTAGAACAGGTTGTGGTTCAGTGGTGGGTTGGGGAAAAAAATATTAAAAAGTTTCATATTAAAGACATTTAAACAACACAAAACAAAAAACACAAGTGTTTCAGTGTACTGTCACTATTTTGTAGTGCATTTTCCCATCTCTTTTTGCAGTTTGTCTTGTAGTGGGCTTAAGGGAGAGAGAAGACTTCTGCATCCCAGTGATCTGGATAACTAAAGTGCTGCTTGACCTTTCAGATACTTTTCATCTCAATTTTTTTTTTTTGCTAACATTGGTAACAACTAAGGAGTCATGCCATATTTCTGAGAACTCACAATTTTCAAACCAATCAGTTAATAATAAGTGAATGCAGCGGAGTTTTAACTTCCTCTGACTAATGAGTTTTTGGAGAAGGTCAATAATAACCAATTTGATTACATTGAAAGGCTGCACTGGAAATAAATGTTAATGACATAGATTATTCCAGGAGTCTGCTTAGACATGTTGACAAATAACAGTATTTTATTTATTCACAAGTCTCGTGAATCTCAGCTATGCCAAAACCTGTTCATTAATAGATGACAGCTGTTCTTTAACAACGCTTCTGGTTGCCAGTGAACTATTTGAACTTGTGAGTCAGTCCTCTAAAAACAACCAAAACCAAAAAAATACCACCCAGAATGCAGTTAACATTTGCTCTTTTGTGTTCTTTGGTTTCATGCCTGTCAAGCAGTAGTGTTCTCAAGGTTTTCAAAAAAATATTACAAGCCTTTGTATGTGTCCTTTTGGGTGTGATTGTTGGTATTCTCCTAAATTAGGATCGGGAGAGAACTCTGTTAAAAAAAAAAAAAAAAAGAAAAATGAAGTTATCACCTTTTTCTGAAAGTTGCAATAAAACTAACCAAAAACTTATATTTTGCCTACCTCCCAAGAGTGATTGACTACTAAGACTATTTTAATCATATTAAATAAACATATATCTCCTGAGTAGAGAGCAGTGAAAATCCATTTAAGGCCTTGCCCTGTGCTGTTGAGAGTAACATTTAATGTTTAACAGCTGGATGTCATTTGAGATGAACATTCAGAAGCAGCAGGCCTCAATTTTGCCCTTCCTTCATTTCTTTACACTTCTTTCCTATGGCAACAAGATTGTTGTGATTATACTGTGTTTTCTGCTCCTTTGCTCTTAAAGTACCTTTGGAACTTCTTAGTTGATTTTAAACAAATTTGACAGATCTAACTAAAAGATAATTAAGTTCCTGAGTAGTTCCTTTTGAAAATAAGGTGAGAGGCAGAGTACTCTGCAGAAGGAAAATCTCCAGCATTAGTTCATAGAATATTAGAGACCACTACACAGAGAGACTGAAAAATGCTCCAACCAGCTACTCCAGCTGGAACTTGCATCACAGATATCAAATTTAATTCACTTCAAGACCTAAATCCATAGGAAATCGGATTTCATTATTGCTGAGGTTCATGGAATTGTTAGTTTGTCTAAAAGATCCCTATGTCTCCTGCCGTGCATACTCAGTGTTTCTTTATTACCCTTAGTCATGCATGGAGCCCCAGGCTTTATTTGCCCTTTATTTATCTTGTACTGACCACAGAATAATAATTCCTTCGAGAGGTTTTTCATAATGCTTCTACTGCTGTACTTTAGATCCATTTTAGATTTTTATCTCCTTTACTTTCTTAGTAGCATTAGGTATATTCAGCATTGCACATGTGGGAACAGAAGTACAGAGATTAAAGCAAAGAGGATGAATGGTACCAACCCACTTAGTGCTGGTGCAATTGTAAGGCAAAATTTAACTATGCTATCTTATTTAATTTTTTTTAAGTCTGTTCTGGACATCGAATGAGCCAGATATTTTTCTGGAAACAGTAGCGTATAATTAGGTCATGTAAATCAAAACTTAATCACATCATCTGTGTATAGGGGATGAGACTCATCTTAGCATGCAATCTTAGCCAGCTAGAATTTGCATGACTGGTCTGGTTGTCTGGAAAGAGATGAGTCTTTAGGATGAAATTGTGTTTTGGAGGTGCCTTTCTCCCTCCATTGATTATGGAGGCCTCCATATCTCAGCCTGTATGGTTTCATGTGATTCAAATTAAACAAATTAAACTCCAGGAGAAAAAAAAAGAAAGTTACAGACTTGGCTTACTTCTGGCATTTGCTTCTGCGGGATATTGACTTTGAAGATATATTGCTTTCTTAAACAGAGTTTTTATGATGCAATTATTTTAAATATCACCTAGATGATCTGTAGGGTTGAGGAACCTCACAGGAGATCCACACCTGTTTTCTCAAGTTTGTGAATAACTAATTGCAGGACAACATTGTTACAGCCTACATGGTAGTAACAGGAGAGGGAGATAGAGCCCCAGATTTGCCAGTGGGTTAGATGTTTCAGACATGGTGGAATAGCAGGCTTTGGGAGCAAGACCTTCATCAACATTCCTTGAGGAATGTAGTCAGCAGTTAGATCCTGCTGTGCCAGACCTCATATCCTCCTGTCCTGCTCCTGTACCTGTTCCCACAGTGATTGATTGCCTTCCCTGCTAATACATCCCTAGCCCTTGCTTAATACTGCTTGTACCATGTCCAGCCCATTGTGATTGTGAGACTACTCTCTTGTATTTTGAACAGGTAATTTGAATTCCCAAATATAGGGGAAATACATAAAAAGTGTTGAGACTATTAATAACTGAGCTCTCTGTAATGGCAGGTCAGGCACTGAAGTCACGTGGGACTTCATTTCATGAAGTTCTCTGCCAGTATTTGTCAGCTGTCACTGTTAAATATAAACAAAATTATTGCAGTAATTAAGTAGGATAATTTTTTAATAAGAGTAAAAATCCTCAAATTTAAAGAAGTTATAAATAATAGTAACCTCAGTTCCAGTCTCTTCTGTTTGTTTCTCCAAAGATTCTAATTTTTCAGCAAGCACTCTAGGTCTGACTTTGACTCGGAACATGATATGGATAAAGTAAAATCCTGTCACTCTTTCAAACCCACAGTGAGCCCCACCTTCAAAATAACTTAATCAGTATCAAAATACCAAAAATTGGTGCTAGAGAAGGTGTATCCACCATTAACCTGAGTAGGTTTTCAGCAAGGAATGTGCAGCTGAGCTTAATGAAGATTTATATATTTACTCCATTAGAAACCTTTCAGAGAGGTTGTTGGGGTTTTTGCATTACATTTTCCTTTGTATTCTACCCTAGCTTTCTTGCCTTGATAAAAAAAAAAAAAAAAAAAGGTAACTGAGCCATCTCATCACAATTCCTGTGTCTAGGTATCTATTGCATGCCAGTGATACAAATTCTGCATAGAAGTGGGCAGGAGAGACAGCCAGAAGGGGAGTTTTAAGCAGGAAGTTTAAAACTGGCTTGCAGAGATGCCTGCCAGTTAGGTGAGACATGTCTGCTGTGCTATTTAACAGGAAAAACTAGTATTTAATAGCAGGAAATTTCAACATCTTACTGAAATCACTGCAGGGTACAGAGGCATCTGTGTCCGTGGCGGTATTTTCAAAACCTCACTTTGCCCAAGATACTGAAATGGAAACTCCAGCTTCTTGGTACCATTTTGGATCTTCTCACCTTTTCAGTTTTTGGCTGTTTGTTGGCTGACTTGTGGGGCAGTGAGTTCCAAGCAGCTGAGCTGAAATGTGAGCTGGAAGGGTTGGTGTTCATGGAGCCCTGGAGGAGGAATGCTGCCCGCCTTGTTCTCACAGGTGGGAGATTTGCATACCTCCCTGCTGTAATTTCGGCAGAGGGGGTGCCCCACCTCTCCCAAGGCTTGGCTGAGTCTGAGCACTACATGGGATTGCCCAAATCTGATTGTTGCTTTATGCAGGACTTGTAGTATCTCTTTAGATTATGAATGTGCACTTTTTAAATATGTGTGCAGCACATTTGCTTAAATGGATCCCAGACCCTTATTTGCTTCACAAAGGCCCTATATGGAACAGTCTTGCAAACTGAAGTGATTAATAGTCCTCAACTTTTAAATTAATTTTAAAATGACTGTTCTTTATTTGTGGAGTGGTGGTTCTTGTCTGTCTGTCCTGGCTAGTTTGTAGATGAACTAACAAATAATGATTTTAGAGATTATAAGAACTGTTGCATTATCAAATATGTTTCATCGTACTTAATCATTTAACAGTTCTGAGGATCCTTGCCAAGGATATATGAAGAGCTTACTTACCATCTAAAAGTACTATTGAGTAGTAAAATCATAAGGATGCAAATAAGTACCCTAAGTGTTTAAGGAAATGTAAATTTCTCCCCTTTGACTGGAAGTTTGGTCTTGAAGTATAATCTGCAACATCTTCAAATTACCTGTTTCCTCTAAGTAAGTCAAACTTGAATTCTGAAACACACATAGAAAGTCACAGGGTAATTCAAACAGGGATTTTCCTAGAGCTCTTTTACTACCTAAACTGATTGTTTTCTCCAGAAAAAGCATGGGTGAAACAAAATCTATTTTGTTGATGTTCACAACAATCAATGCTCAGTGGTATTTCTTGGTCTCAATTGAGTGAAATTAAATTTCTTACTGTACCATTATCTTCCAAAGCTTTTATTTTCCCCTCAGAATCTTATCTCTAAACCAGAGTGGTATCTTGTTTCTTGAGATGACAAGGTTATGTTTGTGTAATTTTGAATCTGCCTTGCTCCCTTTTTTAAAAAGGTCTTCATAAAAAATTATTTTACAAAACTGTGCTGTCTATGCTTGCAGACTGTCAAATACTGTCTCTGCCTAGCAGAAATCATAATAGCCACAACTGTGTAAAATGTTAAAACTAATCAGAAGCTATAAAGCTGCATGTTGGTATTTCTAGGAATTCTCAGGGGTAATAAAAATGCTATGCCTTTTGGTCCTTCCCACTCAAAAAATAAATTTTAAAAAAAGCCAAAAAAACCGAAAACAGACAAACAACCCCAAGTAAAAGTGCACCTGCTGTATTTTTTAATTATGTGGAGAATTCATTATGACAAGAAATTTCTACAATCAGTAAGCAACAGTCTTCAGATATTCTAGTCAGACCATATTTGCTAATAATTTTGCTGATGACAGCTTTAGCATCCATCCTGGGGTTTAGACACCACAATACATTTCCTGCCCTCTGCTCCTTCCTCCATCCATCACTTTTGATCCCTTCCCAGATATTTAATGTTCTCCCCCCAGCACTATGCACTGTGGAAGCCTCCCTGGGTCCCTGCAGCCTCAAGGAGGAATGAGCTGAGCCACTCTTTGTGGGGAGAGCTCTGGCACAGGGCAGCCAGCATTCTGGAAGAGCTGGAACTATGGCTACAGAAAGAAAAAGGAAACAAATTCTATGCATCTTCCCCAGAATTTTAAGAAGTGATGAATATTCTCAGCCAAAGAGGCATACAGCTTATTTGTAGCACGGGGGAGACTTTATATTTTGCCCTCCTTCTGATGCAGCTGAGTAACTTTAGGTGACTCTTTCTGGATGTAGTCAATATTCAACTACCCTGTGGCTTTCTCTGTGTAAGTTTTCAATTTTGAGTCATGATCAGTATTGTACTACATGATGCCTTTTTTTTCCCTTCTTCCTTTCTTTTTCTCCTGTGCTTTGGATTTCATTCATTCAGCTTAGATGGTTGTTGTCTCTGGAAGCTTTCTTTATTGTCAGACATAGTTGTTTATGGCTATTTGGGTTGAGAGAGGAATGTGGTGAATCCAGAGGTTGTACTTATTTCTCTGTGCTTGGTTGCTAAACCTGCCAAGACACAGGCAGCAGAGTGGCAGGTAGAAAAGTTGGGACTTCCATTTTCCTGGGCATGTGACAATATTCTGTGTGTCTTTGTGCCCTAGTTCAGGGTTCAGTGTTCATGGTTTCAGAGAACAAGATTGCGACATGTTCTGCATTGCACAACTGGGTTTGATTGTTTCTCTGGTCAACATTAATTATCTAGTTGAGTTCATTGCTGAAAGGAAGAGTCCTGGTTTTGATGATTTTCATTTTTGTTACAATCTGCTTTTGCAATCAGTACATAAATGTTTTACAAGGGTGGAGTGCTATTTTGATAGTTTATCATGATAAAGACTGAGATGTTTCCATTTGGGGGTATTCCTGGTTATTAAATAGAGGCAAGAAAACAGAATTTTAGTGAATTTCACAAAACGAGTTAACATCCTTTATAATAGTTAATAGCCTGTGCCTTTTCTTTAGTGAGTACTAATATTCTGTGTGACCTGTTCCTTTCAACTGGACTTTTCCAACCCATGCTCAATACTTCAAAGATAAGGGTACTTAACTAAAAATCAGCTAAAATTGGTAGTCAACTGAAGAACCTGTACTTACAGAACAGTTCATATGGGTAAAGATTTACAGGATTGGCACGTATGGTTTGTAGTGACTCCTCAAAAGACATTTTCTGTTACCTTCAGATTTAGGAGAGGTGTTTGAGGCAGCTAAAGAATGTGAAGATGCCAAATGGGACTTGCATAGGCATCAGTTTCCATCTAATTTATTAGAAAACTTCAATCATTTAATTAAATATTCAAAGGAAAAACATGTCCAGTGACTGCACCAAATATTTTACATTAAAGTATGTGAAAAAGCAAACTTTTCAACTGTTGTGTTCTAGTTATCTTAATGAAGTGTTTGCTTTTGTTTGTTTTTCAGAAATCCGGTGTATTACATGAGTTAGACGTTGTGTCTCTAAATGAAACTAAGAAGAGAACCTGCTGTGCATTCTAAAGTACTGTTTTTTATTCCATTTTCTCTTCAGGAAATATCAAGTGTTACAAAGGAACATAAAAGATTTTTAAAATGAGCCTGTAATCCAAAAATACAGTGTTTAAGCATTACACAGACATTGTTGCCAATTTTTTATATGTTTATATTATATTTTGATATTTTTAATGTGAAGATAAAACAATTATTTTGATTTAGGAATTATTAGGTGCTTCACAGGGTGACAGTGCTTGAATGTAAATGTTTGCAGAAATGAAGTCTAAGTGTACTAATTTTCTGTTATTAAAAAAACACCCTTCACTTTTTTTGTGTGTTATTTATACCAGATTTGTAATACAATGAACATTGACATCATCACACAAGCAACATTCTGATATATGAAATCATATAACATCTCTTTAAATATCTGATACTTACTGCAATCTCATAAGACTCAAAAGAGAATTTTTTGCTTGGTTTCTTTTGTACTAATTTCAGACACATACATGCTACTTTAATACCCTTGAATAGGGACTCTGCAAAGGTGATGTCTGAAAGAAAGGGATAAACCATATAAAGATTGGTGTCATAGAATGGTTTGGGTTGGAAGAGAGCTTGAAGATCATCTAGTTCCTGCCTCCCTGATAGGGACAGGGACCTTCCACTAGAGTGTGTTTCTGGACCTTCCTAAGAATTCTAAAAGCATGGAACAACAGAATACATCCAGTAATAATAATAATAATGTTTCTTATTTATTTATTTTATTTATGTTATTTAAATTTCATAATTCCTTAAAATAATTTACGTGTTAGCAGCTAACCTGCATTTTCAAATGTTCTTTTCGTCACAAATGATCTCTTTTTTTTGATATTGTGTTTATTGTATTTATGTTGTTTTCTCAAAGTGTAAATAGAGGAGGTATCTGATTCTGCTCATGTAGATTTGTTTTATACAGACTTGTAAATATTTTTAAAATCTGTGGAGAATATCTTATTTAATTTTAAATAAGGGCAGAATCAGGATGCTGGTTACTTTTTCTTTAATCAAAAGCAAAGCAAGCACAACTCAAACCTGCAAGATAAGCAAAAAGCAAACACAGGTTAAGAAATCTGAAGAATTGTGGCAACTATACTGTCTTCTTTTTTTGTCCTTGCATAGGAGATGTGGTTGTTTTATCATGATTTTAAATGACTAATGCTGTTGTGCAGAATTGTGTTTTGATCCATGCCAGCACATCCAAAATAACTAGCCCCACTGGCTTACTGTTCTGAAATGCCATTAACCTTCTGAAATACTCTTGCTTCTTTTTGAGGGCTGTTTGCAGATTGTCATAATATCAAAATATTACTAAATTTGGTATTGAGAAAGGGAGCTCAAATGGAGCACATGGGACCAAGCGTGCCTGAGCACAGTGCCAGGTTTATATGCCCCTAGTCCAGTTAGTGTGCCTGCAGAAATGTTACAAAAGGATGGGCTGGGCTCTGTATTTACAGCTGCTCCTGACTACTCATCATGGCCAGGCACTGAAGCTAGTGCTTTTCACAAAATATGAAAACAAGGAACAAAGGATAATCCCTGCCTTCATTAAAACCATAGCAGAGGAAGGAAATAGTGCTGGAAGGGATTTTGAGAGTCTGTCTGGGTTCTCATCATATCTCAACCTCTAATCAGCTGCCCCTGATGAAATGCAAGAAGCTGGTCAGAGATCTGCAGTGGTAGAGATTTCAGAGTCTCTCTGAGTGGCAACAGTCCTTACTTAACTGGTCTGGTAAGCAGGAAATTTCCTAATACCTAACCTAACTGGCACACATGGAAAGTAGGTTCTTCCTTTCCTCTTGATGCAGGAGAACACCTCTAGCTGCTCTCTTCCTCTTCTCTCTTCTCTTCTCTTCTCTTCTCTTCTCTTCTCTTCTCTTCTCTTCTCTTCTCTTCTCTTCTCTTCTTTTCTCTCTCAAGAACTCCCGACCTTCCTACCTTCCCTTGTAGTTTGGATTTTCAGAATCTTTTGCCCTTTTTGTCTCCCTCCTCTTAAGGTTCTTGACTTGGTTCTCAACTATCTTCCATAAATACTGTCTCCAAATATAAGTGTGCTCCGTTCAGTCATCAATGATGTTGATGAAGGTCCTGGATAGTTCCGGATCCAAGATGGATCTAAGTGAAATTCTGTTCAATGTATCCTTTCAGCTTTGGAGAACTAATTATTTCCAAATAATTCCATATTTATATTGCCTAGCCTGTTCATTTGGAGTTTTTTTGTAATAGGAGCACATTATAAGAAACTCTTATGATCCTCAGTCTTTCTCCCCATCCACAAAGCCTGTTAAAACACATTTATTTAGTAGAAATTCACTTGATCAGTTTGTATATTGTATCAGTTTGGTATTTCCTTCCCTCCTTTGAGAGAGATGCAAGTCCTTTTGTGTTTTCTGGCACTCATTCTACTAATTCCTGGAAATAATCAGTAGCAATTTTAACATAGTTTGAACCATAAGGAGTTTCACCAGGTTCAGTCTGTCCAAAAATCTTTAACTTGTCTATGTATTTTCCAGTTTCTTTGTTCTTTTTTCTAGCCTTATACTTCTGTTGGTGGTGGTAGAGTGAAATCACATTTGCCTTCTAAAATTCAAGGCTGAAGTTGAAAGTATCAGCATCACCAGTGATGATTAAATAGAGTTTCCCCTCTGTGGAATAAGAGACCATTTTTTCCTTAGTATTCTTACTATGCATCTTATCAACAGCCTTGCTATCTTTAAAATCCAATTTTCCAACTTTCTGGGAGCTTATCTTTCAGGTTTTGTCCATACATAATATATATATTTATTAATAATTTAGTAATTTGACCTTCTTTCTATTTTATTTCAGGTCATTGAAGATCTCATGATTCATCCAACTTAATCTTTATCTCACTTCCTTTCCCTCCTCTGTATAGATCAAATTCTGCAGTTTTGCCTTTCAACAGTAGTTCTGTGATAAACTTTCAGCTGTCCTGAACTCACAGTTCATCTACTGGTTTTCTAGGTTTAAGCATCCATGTAATTCCTCCTTCTTTTTCTAACAATGAAAATAGATATAAAAGGGTCAGATTAATTTTGATTTCTTCTCTTTATAGCAAATGAGAATTTCAAGTAACGAATTTCTTCAATGCATTTTTCCTTCATGCAGAGCTTCCTACTATTTGTGCTTAGGTATGATCCAGTCCCACCTGAGAGAGATGCAGATACTCAGGTTCCCATGGCAGTTTTTGTAAGATGCTAACTCCTGCTAGCTGATGCTTCACCTAACACTCCATGAGCACCATGAGTGCTCTCCTTTTCACATCTGGAAAAAACAACTGCCTTTTTCCAAAGATACTCAATGTAGAATACAAGAGTGTGCCAGTGGGGAATAAACATCACTCTAACTAGAAAGGGCCAACAAAGGTTCAGGTTGGACATCAGGAAAATTTCTTCATGGAGAGGGTTGTTAAGCATTGGAACAGGCTGCCCAGGGAGGGGGTAGAGACACCATCCCTGGAAGTGTTCCAAGAAATAACTTGTGGTACTTAGTGCTGTGGGTTAGTTGACAAAGTGGTGTTTGGTCAAAGGTTGTGCTCAATGCTCTTGTTCCAACCGAAATAATTTTATAATTCTGAGATTCAGAGAGAGAAAGTTAGGATCTCTGAAATGATCACTGCATCTTCTGTTATATCCCACTTTATTTGTAAATATTGGGAAAATTGGGCCTTTGGTATAAAAAAATACAGGAATAAGGAATGCAAATTATTGGGGCTTTTCTTAAAGAAATACCAAATATTATGGTTTCCCATGAAACTTACTGTATATAGCTCAGTTTTATTTGATGTATGCACACAACACTGTAAAGCATGTTACCAGACTCATACTAAAATGAATTTGTTGTGAACAGTTCCTTTTCAGATGTTAACACATATATGAACTGAGGATGATCTGAAATGCTTTAAAAATAATGTTATTGGCAATGGAATACATACATACTACAGATTTAACAGACTGTTGCATAAATGTGAAATTAATGTGCAAGTCAATTCAAAATGCATTTAAGAATAATTTCAGGAATTATTCTGGGTCCTTTTGCCACTGCTTATGGTTTTATGGCAAGAATTTTCTGTTGATTCATAAAGACTGTCCCTGAACACCACCTGAAAGGCACATAGACAAAAACTAAGACATTATGAAACTGAGGCCCTGGCCCTAGGGTAGATTTGCTCTTCAGGTCTGGTGGCTTCATTAGCATTTTACACCAGTAGGAGACTGCTAAGAGATCACACTAAGGCATTGCTAGACATCAGAAAAATTATCTAAAGTGTTAATTATACATAAGGCGCAGTTAGAACAAGATATTTCTGTTATATGCTGGTGATTTGAATGCCATTTACGTACTATTAGAATATATTCCAAGGAGGTGGAGCTGGAGAACAGTTAGGACACATAACAAAGTGACTCCAAGAGCAAGAGCAAGACATTTAAATACTGTTGAGCATTATGAACTCTGCCTGGAGACAACTGAATGAAATTTAGATAGTATCTAGAAGTTACAATTTTTTTAAATGCACATTGTTCCAGTAAAATGGTTACAAGTGGGCAGGTTTTTCACTGGTTGGAGAGAACACAAACACAGTTATAGGAAGGTAAATTTAGAGGCCGTAGGACATCTAGTACAGAAGAATGAAAAAATGTTTCAAGAAAAATCAACAGTAACTATTTCTATGTGAAAGATGCTTTTCTTCCCAGACAGCAGAAGTGAATGATGTTTGAGAGAGACACATGCTGTGAGATGGTATCTCTCCTGGAATTAATGGTACTCAAGATAGTGTTTCAGAACAATTCCTGACAGACTAGTGCTTCAAGTCCTGGTGAATCTCAGTCTGATCTGATCTGCTTCATTTTACATACTGCACCTGGAAACCTCATCAAACCTGAATGAGCTAAACCCATGTGTTCCATATTTCAGCAATAATGCTCTTAGCAACAGTGCTGACGTTCAGTGATGACACAGAGCTGTGTGGAGTGGCTGATACCTGCTGACCTGCTGGGAAGCAGCTCTGAGGAGAAGGACCTGAGAGTCCTGGTGGACAACAAGCTGTCCATGAGCCAGCAGGGTGCCCTGATGGGCAGGAAGGCCAATGGGTATCCTGGGGTGCATTAGGAACAGCATTGCCAGCTGATCCAGGGGTGATCTTGCCCCTCTACTCAGCCCTGGTGAGGCCACATCTGGAGTGCCGTGTCCAGTCCTCAATACAAGAGAGACATGGAGCTTCTAGAGATGGTCCAGTGGAGGGCAACAAAGAT